GAAAGTAGACTGGCAGCCCTTTCTTCTCCTCAGGTGCCTTCAGGTAGATTTGAACCACCAGCCTTTTGGTTATTAGCCAAATGCTTAACCACTTGTACCTACCAGGAACTCAAAATAGTAATACAAACCTATTTAAAGTGAAAAATATACAAATACTTACAATAACATGTTCCTCTAAGTGGATTACCAACATAGCGATTTTCAGAGTCACATCTGTAGAAATACAAAAACTCATTTACTATTAAACAATGTATTTCAAAAATCTCATGTTTTCCTCAAGCAAAAAATATTTCAACTCTATGTTAAAACATCACAGAAACTAATTGAAAGTTTTGAAAAAACAAAGCTTCGAAGGAATTCATTGTAGAAAACTATAAGCATGAGTGAGAGAAGAAATAAATGGAGAGGAATAAAAGAAACAGACAAGAGAGGGATAAAAGGAATGTAGCAAGGCAGATGGGATAGGATTATGAGCATGAGGACATGGGTTCTCTGTGAAGTTGAAAGGATGGATGAAGATTTTTAGGTAAGGGAAGAAAAATGAGAGAGTTCATAAACCCACATTTTCTTACTTACAATACTCTTTGAACTTAATTAATTCTTTTCCAGTTTCTACACCAATGAATCCATACAAAAAAGAGATCTATGGGAGGGAGATCCAATAGATCTACCGGTTCAGGACCATAGTACTGGGGGGGGCACCAGACTCAACTGGCACAACAAAATATATAAAAGCCTTGTTCCACATCCTACATTGGTGAGTAGCAACTGGGGTCTAAAAGCTTTCCAGAGGCCATCTAACATGCAGCTACCAGTCTCCTAGTGCCGGAAGTGAAGAAGAATGCAAAAAAAAAAAAAAGGGGGGGGGCATTTGGAAGCAATCAGCCCTAGGACAGGATGGCCCTCAAGACCAGAAGAACTAGATGGTGCACAGCTACCAATGCCAACCACTCAGAAAAGGATCAAATCTGGAGATCCTGGAGAGAGTGGGAGGAAAAACATGGAAGAAAATCCAAAAACTCAATAATGACCAGAATTACTAGTCAGAGGAAGTCTCATGAGACCCCCAACACTATGGCCCTGGAATACATTCTGCACCTGGAATAAAACTCACCCCCAAGGGCTGGCTCTCAGCCCAATAGTTAACAAGATGTACACGCAGACCACTCAACCAGGATGAGGCACCCACATACTCTATGGT